TTGATCTTACCAATTTGATGCATCTAAAATAAAGTTGTTATTACCTACTACACTATGGGAGTATTCCTGTTCCCACCTCTTGGGTGAGTGCTTTAAACCTGCAGACCTACTATCCCAGGACGGGCTACCACTCTTTATGGATACCTGGTGATATATGACCACTCCTAAGAAGGAATAAGGATACGCCGATACTTGGCATACTGCTTTCACATTTGTTGACCCATCCCCCGGATGGAAGACCTTTTCTGCTTCAGGCCCCCATCAGATGACACCTGGATTTACTTATATAAGGCGCAATTAATATGCGCGTCCGGTGAGTGCATATTACTTACACCACTTTAGCACTTCTTGCCGGATCAGGATTCACTACAGTCACCTGATTGGAACTTTATATATTTTTATTTGATTACTGATCTCTATATATGTTTATTTATTTATTTATCAATATATTTATTCATTGCACTCCCTTTAATTGGGATATATGTGAGCTGATATATTGCCATCTCGGACATTATACTTGATCATTTTTTCTTAGCGCTGCACAATATAAAAATATATAGCTAATATTAGGTTAGTTTTTAAGCTGTCCTTGGCTGTGATATTATGGCTAGCAGCTACTGTCAAGTAGAACCTTCTTCAGAATGCAACAGATGGGGAAACCATCTGTATGCTGGTACTTGCTATGTGTTGGTGGTCTGTACTTAAACGGCAACTACCACTGTACAAACTATTTGCCATGCTAGATATCAAATAGCAGTCACAGTGATCAGTCAACATGACTTCTTTCAAACAAGCTTGGCCCATGTTGGTTTGGACAGTGTATACAATGATCAAAACCCCAATTAGTTTATTTTCAGCTTCTTGCGTCCCCTTGGGGAAATTGCCTGTAACTCCCTGTACCAGAGACACAACATGAAGGGAAGCTCCCTCTTTGGCAGGTGTCACCAAAACAGGTGTCCGTAATTGAAGATTTGTCTTCCTTTCTTCTAGTGAAAAGTGTAAAATTTTGGATTTTCTGTTTCTTTTTAGGCTAGGTTCACACTAGCCAATGCTTTGAAATCTGAAAATGAATTTTGGAGCACAGCTAAGCAGTCACTGACAGGCATTCAGGAGGTAACCCTGCCACCTCCTGAATGCCTGTTTCTTTTCTGCTTTATTTTGGGGTAATGGCCATAACTGCCGGTCAAGCATTTGGCATGTGGTTGTGGCACAGGCCCCATTGACTTGCATGGGCGAATTTGACAGGCTACCACAGAATGTATATTAACAGTATCACTTCTCTACATGGCACAAGTCCTTATGAAGAAAATCTCTCTAAGTTCCAAGCATCTTCAGCACACAACCCTGGTCAAAGTCTTCTAGCATCTGCTTGGCCTTGCTGCCCACCTGAGGAATTCATAAGCACTACACATAGAAACAAAAAATAGAGGGCGCACCGGCCTTTTGCTGTAACTATGATAGCTTTTATTTAATGAAAAAAAAAAATACTCACACAATGCACAATTCCAACAGAACAACCAGAACTGGTAACACCTCTCTAGTGGAAGAAAGCGATGCCCCTGAATTCTGCATGCGCTTACATATTTTGAGGGTACACCCTCTTCATCGGTTCTGGTTGTTCTGTTGGATACTTGCATTGCTCTTGTAGCTTTATATGTTTTTTGAATAAATTTTTTTTTTTTTGTGAAAGGTGTCATTGTTAGTCCTTGTGAGAGTGGTCACCAGGACAAATAGAGACTGAATCTACCGAACAACGACACAGATTTGAACAATAAAAACAAATGTTCTTATCCTTTCTTACACTAGGAAAACTTAAAAAAAGAGTTTTGGCTACAGATAATATTTGAACTGGGTGTGTATGGTGGTTATGCCGTAACAATTTTCATAAACAAAATATTTCCCGACATGTAGTAGTTTACTGAGAAATGGAACAATTTCTGCCTTTTTGCAACAACCTGGATTAGAGTTTTGTCTCAAAACAAATCAAATGGAAACCACAAGTATTATAACAAACGCCACCTTTTTACAGTTGGGCAATGAATCATTTACCTTGACACTAATTTAATATACTGCCTGGGCCGTAGCATTTGTGATAATCTGTACACAAAACCAATTTCCTAAACTCCACATAGTAAATTATGACCTTGCCTCATCCAGCAAATTAGAACTTGCGTGAAAATGAAATCAATATTACACATTTTCTCAATGATATATTCTGTAAGTCATTTTTCATTTGGGGTTTGAATGTCAGCGGACTGCTATATATGTATACACACACTTTGTTGGCACGGCACAAAATAGAAGTCATTATTACAGAGCACAGCCAAGGGGCGTTAATTTATTATCCAGATGTTTTATTGTATTGGAACTCAATTTGGAAGCATGTATAATAACTTTTCTGTCTAAAACCCATATGAGATATTTACTCTATGTGCATATTCATTTCACCATATTCATTATGTCAAAAACGTATACTTTAAGTTCTTGATTTAGAACTTGTGTTTGCTAATATAAATATTCACTATATTGCCAAAAGTATTGGGACACCCCTCCAAATCATTGGATTCAGGTGTTCCAATCAGCTCCATAGCCACAGGTGTAAAAAAATCAAGCACCTAGGCATGCAGACTGCTTCTACAAACATTTGCGAAAGAATGGGTCGCTATCAGGAGCTCACTGAATTCAAGCATGCTACCGAGATAGGTTGTAATATGTGAAATTTCCTTGCTAATAAATATTCCATGGTCAGTGTTAGTAGTATTATAACAATGTGGAAGCAACTGGAAACAACGGCAACTCAAAGTGGTAGGCCACGTAAAATGATAGAGCGGGGTCAACGCATGCTGAAGCGCATAGTGCACAGAAGTCTCCAACCATCTGCAAAGTCAATTGCTAAAGACCTCCAAACGTTATGTGGCCTTCAGATTAGCACAACAACTGTACTTACTGAACTTCATGGAGTGGGTTTTCATGGCCAAGCAGCTGCATCCAAGCCTTATATCACCAAGTGCAATGCAAAGCGTCGGATGCAATAGTATAAAGCACACCACCACTGGAAAAGTGGAGACGTGTTCTCTTGAGTGATGAATCATGCTTCTCTGTCTGGCAATCTGATGGATGTGTCTGGATTTGGCTATTACCAGAAGAACGGTACTTGCCTGACTGCATTCTGCCAAGTGTAAAGTTTGTGGAGGGAGGAAAATGGGTTGGGGTTGTTTTTTAGGGGTTGGGCTTGGTCCCTTAGTTCTAGGGAAGGGAACTCTTAAAACATCAGCATACCAAGACATTTTGGACAATTTCATGCTCCCAACTTTGTGGGAACAGTTTGGGGATGGCCCCTTCCTGTACCAACATGATTGCGCACCAGTGCACAAAGCAAGGTCCATAAAGACATGGATAAGTGAGTTTGGGGTGAAGGAACTTGACTGGCCTGCACAGAGTCCTGACCTCAACCTGATAGAACACCTTTGAGATGAATTAGAGCGGAGACTGTGAGCCAGGCCTTCTCATCCAACATCAGTTGCTGACCACACAAATGTGCTTCTGGAAGAATGGTCAAACATTCCCATAGACACACTCCTAAACCTTGTGAGCAGCCTTCCCAGAAGAGTTGAAGCTGTTATAGCTGCAAAAGGTGAGCCAACTCCATATTGAACCCTACGGACTAAGACTGGGATGCCATTAAAGTTCATTTGCGTATAAAGGCAAGCATCCCAATCCTTTCGGCAATATAGTGTATATATTTATTTTGGATGCAAAGAAGAGTTATTTTAACAAAAGTTCTTAAAATATAATTAAATCTGCTTTGCCAAAATTCTTAAAGCATGCTTCTCACCTAGAGATGTTATAAAAATATGGAAGCTAATAACGTCTTATTGATGAACCTACAGTGGATTACCCCAGTCTCTTAGCTTTTCGTTAATTAAAATGTGTCATGGTTGATGCACAAGGCTGATTTGCTCTCTCTTTTTGTTTCTATGTATAGAGTGAATAAAGATAGTCACAGTTAATTGATTTGTTTCTTGTAGCCTTTGTCCATTCTTCTAGCTTTGCCCTCCATGTGGTTCAGAATCTTGCGCAGCGCACTGATGATGTATGCACCTCAATTCTCACGAGCGGAGTACCTTATTGGGTTACTGTTAAAAAAAAATTCCTTTGAGGTACTGCAAACTATTTTTGCAAGATTTTGGGGGCAAAGGGTTTTTTTTTTCAACACAGGAGTATAATGTGGTACGCCGCATGTGTGAGATGTGTTGCATGACCTTTGCACCTAATCTTACACATGCATGGTACAACATTACACTCTGTTGGAAAAAAGCCCCCTTAAGATCTCACAGTTTAGAACCAGACACCAGTGTCTCAAGACGTTGACGTTTAGTGTCTCAAGACTATGACGTTTATATGTAGGGTTGCATTCTAAGTTTTTTTTTTTTTAGGGGGGGCAATAAAAGTACAGTCGTTTGGCTATACTTCTTCTGTGGATAACAGAAGTGCAGTTCATTCTGCACCCCTGTGACCCATTTGACATCACAGAGCCCATCCAGGCTGAGAAAAGATTGCAACCATATGGTCAGGACCCACCCCGGAGCCTGGACCAGCACCTGACTCATCCGCTCAGTATGCCTCATGCCTTAGACAGCCACTCCTACCCCCTCCACAGCCCAGTGCTCCAGTGAGGGGCAGAGCAGACAGTGATGACTAGCAGTCACTCTCTTCTCAGAGCAGCGGGGGGGAACTGAATGGTGTCTGATCGCTCAGTTCTCAGCTTTGAGCCAGCAGGGACAGATGCACATTGGATCTATGATATGATTTTTTAAAAAAAAATAATGCCATACTTCTCTTTTAAAGTATATGTTAACCATAACAAGAACATCACTTAGTTACCCCCTTTAACCGCCCCCCGCTCGCCATATAGTAAAATGACGGACGCAAGGCGGTTCTCTCGTTCTGGGAGGACGTCATATGACGTCCTCCCATTCTAACCGTACATGCGTGGCTCCTGGAGCACGCAGCGCGGCGATCGGCGGTGTGCTGTGTCCCTCAGACACAGCGGATCACCAATCCATGGAAAGAGCCGAATATATCGATAATATGTCCAATCACAGCTGATCACATGTAAATAAGGAAATGCTGGTTATCGGCATTTCTCTCCCCACGAGCTGTCACGCTGACAGCTCATGAGGAGAGGAGAGCTGGTAATCAGCATTCCTTGGAGGGGACATGTACACAGATCATCAGAGCATCAGAGCACTGATGATCAGTGTAGCCCCAGCAGCGCCACCTGTCAGTGTCCATCAGTGCCAGCTCTCAGTGCTCATCCATGCCACCTGCCAGTGCCACATTTCAGTGCCACATCAATGCCACATATCAGTGCCTATCTGAGCTGCTTTTCAGTGTCACCCATCAGTGCCAGTCAGTGCAGCCTATTAGTGACAGTCAGTGATGCCTATCAGTGTGAATCAGTGCCGCCTATCAGTGCCTGTGAGTGCTGCCTATCAGTGCCGCCTAACAGTGCCAGTCAGTGCCACCTAACAGTACCAGTCAGTGCCACCTATCAGTGCCAGTCAGTGTCGCCTATCAGTGCCACCTATCAGTGCTGCCTATCCGTACCATATATGAGTGCAACCTTTCAGTGCCCATCAGTGATGCCTGTCAATGCCCATCAGTGACACCTACCAGTGCCTCCTCATCAGTGCCACTTATCAGTGTCCATCAGTGCAGCCTATCAGTGCCCATCAGTGCAACCTCATTAGCGCACATCAGTGAAGGAGAAAAATCACTTATTTACAAAATTTTATAACAAAAAATAAGAAAAAACATTTGTTTTTTTTCAACATTTTCAGTGGTTGTAGGTTTGTTTAAGAAAAAATAAAAAAACCCAGAGATGATTAAATACCACCAAAATAAAGCTCTATCTGTCAAAAATAAATGATAAAAATTTCATATGGGTACAGTGTGACATGAGCGCGCAATTGTTATTCAAAGTGCAACAGCACTGAAAGCTGGAAATTGGCCTGGGCAGGAAGGGGGTATAAGTGCCCTGTAGGCTAGTGGTTAAAATATGCCATTGGAAAATAGGAGCTGAGTGAATTTCTTGAAGATTAACAGTTCGGCTGACCATACATGGATCGAAATTTGGCCAGTTCAGCAGGCAATGGTCCATTGACTACTGATCGACTGACTTCTGTACAACCAGCCTGTAGCAGTTTTCCCGAACAATCATTGCCGCTGGCTATAGCCAGCAGCACTGATCATTGTATTCTGATGGTGGAAAAGGCTCCCCACCAGGAGGAAATCCACATTAGCTCAGGGAGTACAGTTGTAAGAAAAAGTATGTGAACCCCTTGGGATTACGTGGAGTTTTGCATGAATTGGGCATAAAATGTGCTCTGAACGTCATCTAAGTCACAACAATAGAAGAACACAGTCTGCTGAACATAATACTACACAAACATTACATGTTGCCATGGTTTAATTGCACATAACATGTAAACATTCACAGTGCAGGGAGGAAAAAGTATGTGAGGCCCTAGCTTAATGACTTCTCCCAGAGCTAATTGGAGCCAGGAGTGAGCCAACCTTGACTTCAATCAGTATGATGATATTGGATGTGTTGCTGACAGCTGTCCTGCCCTTAAAAAACACACACCTGTTTTGGGTTTACTGGTTTCAAGAAGCACTGTCTGATGTGAACCATCCCTCGCAGAAAAGAGCTCTCAGAAGACCTACGATCAAGAATTGTTGACTTGCATGAAGCTGGAAAGGGTTACAAAAGTATCTCCAAAAGCCTTGATGTTCATGTGTCCACGGTAAGACAGACTGTCTACAAATGGAGAAAGTTTAGCACTGTTGCTACTCTCCCTAGGCGTGGTCGTCCTGTAAAAATGACTGCAAGAGCACAGCGCAGAATGCTGCATGAGGTAAAGAAGAATCCCAGAGTGTCAGCTAAAGACCTACAGAAATCTCTGGCACATGCTAACATTTTTGTTGACACATCTACAATAAAGAAAACATTAAACAAGAATGGAGTACATGGGAGGACACCACGAAGGAAGCCATTGTCCAAAAAGAATATTGCAGAACGTTTGAAGTTTGCAAAAGAGCACCTGGATGTTCCACAGCACTACTGGCAAAATATACTGTGGACAGATGAAACCAAGATTGAGTTGTTTGGGAAGAACACACAACACTATGTGTGGAGAAAAAAAGGCACAGCACACCAACACCAAAACCTCATCCCCACTGTAAAACATGGTGGAGGGAGCATCATGGTTTGGGTCAATCAGTTATTAAGTCCAAAGGTTCACATACTTTTTGCTCCCTGCACTGTGAATGTTTACATGTTATGTGCAATTAAACCATGGCAACATGTAATGTTTGTGTAGTATTATGTTCAGCAGACTGTGTTCTTCTATTGTTGTGACTTAGATGACGTTCAGAGCACATTTTATGCCCAATTCATGCAAAACTCCACGTAATCCCAAGGGGTTCACATACTTTCTCTTGCAACTGTACATGCAAACTCCATGCAGATTGGGGGATTCAAACCAGAGACCAGTAATCTTTAAAGTGAAACTGACAAATATTTCTCCAGTGCCTCCCCCTTGTTCTCCATGACACTTGGGGAGGTATTTACAGTAGATACCAGTCTCAGCTAAATATTGCAACGTTGCTGCACACCATAGCTTGCATTTTACAACTCATTTTTAAAATGCATACTGTGGAGCTTGTGGTTGCTAAATGTTGGGTTTGCACATCTGCAATACGGTAAGGCACACTCATTCATAACAAGTGTTATATCATGTGTTCTTAGGCAGCCAATGTTCTATAAATGCGTGATGCATTTTTTTTTTTTTTAGTTTGGCAGCAGCGTTGTGGACATGTAAGGACATTCCATAAATATTTTCATGAAAGGGTCAATCCACTCAAAACTTATATTTCAGTTTTTGGTAGAGGCTGAAGAGCCAAATAAAAATTGTTCATCAGCTCACCAGGATCAATAACTTTAATATCACTTTTGGATAGACTGACCCTTTAAAGAGTATGTAAACCCAATATTTCATATTCCTGATATGTGCCTGCTGTACCATGAAAAAGTATCCTGTTCTCTTTGTATTGCTATCTTTGTGTGAAATCCCTGGTGTTCCTGCCATTCCCTTTGCTCTCCTATTAAAAACTGACTACATTAGGCATGAGAACACGGCATGGTCAGTTCTCTAGCTGTGCTCGGAAATCAGCCTGATCTCCTTCAATGATCAGACTGATCCTGACCGAATGATCCTGACACACCTCACTGCACAGCCTTTCACTGGGAATATCAGTGTGTTGCTGTTTCTCCTCCCCCAGCTCTGCTGCAGCTCAGAATAAAGGGAATATGATCATTTATGAAAAAGGGAAAAAACGTATTTATAATGTTTTTTATATCTATATACAAGTGTTTTGCCTTTCATTTCTATTGTAAACTGAATGGGTTGTTTTATATGGTGAGGGTTTACATATATAATTACATTTATTTTAAATGCAGGTAGTCCAGGTTGCTAAACCTGCCTTTATAGTAACTCGAGCAAAACACAGACTGAGATTAAAATGCATGAAGTGGCCAGGGGCACAGATTGTGTGTGGAAGCCAGCATGATGTTAACATCTAGTTTATTGTGCTTTACAATCTCCCCTATGGTTTTAGTACATATTATTGGCAGGAAGCATTTCTTCCTTTCATGTAGAAATACATGAAGTGTATTTAATAATGCACAACACAATCAGCTGCCTCAGAACTTATTCTCAGCTGAAAACATTAACATGAAAGCAACATCCAAGAGATCCCTCCGTTGGTTTGACATTACTAAGCTAAGTTAGGCCTACAAGATGTATTTCTGAACATTAACTGCAAAGTAATTCTTATTGCCTTAAGGTGACTGGTATAGCCCCAATGACGGGTGGCTTCCATTTTGCTTAACGCGTATCTGAATCTAGAAGAGAAATGTACTATATTTTATCTTACTAGTCCTTAGATGTGGTAGATGCATTAGTTGTCTTTTTTCAGTTTTTTGTTCTTTTTTTTTCACCTGGTAATCCTGCCAATAACAACATTTCTGGCAATTCATCTCTATGCTTTTTCTCTCTGCAGTATTTATAGGGGCAACCATGGTTGTCTTGGTTGACTAGGAGCCTTTATAGACTTTGAGACTTTAAACATGACTTCAAGCTACACTTTAAAGTGATAGTAAAGGTTTTTTTTTTTTTTTAATTCAAATATAAAGGAAGTTTATACTTAAATGCTCTGCAGTACTGCAAAGAGTGGTCCCTTACCTCTTCTTTTTCTGTCCCCCGTCGGCGTTGTCCACTTCTCCTTCCTCTGGATGCCCCCTCACCAAGAACTCTCGGGAAATCTGACTTGTATCTTAATGCAGACTTCTGGGAAAATTTGTAAACCAATCACACAGGAAAGAAATTACATTTCTGGGGGATGTTCTGTACACCATCAGTGTACAGAACGCCTTCAGGTTGCCATATTATAATTAATCTTACATATAATTACAGCGCTGCAGATTAAAAAGGAAAGGTAATTTAATAACAAAATGGCTTTTTTAGCAACTGTATATGTTATATTATTTTTTATTTTTTTGCTGTTTTTTTAACCACAAAAGTGGACTTACCCTTTAACCTTACAAAGAGGATATCTTACCTGCTGAGTATTTGAGTTCATCATCCAGGAAATTTCTGCAGTTCTCCAGCCCCCCTAGCCTCTTATGTTGATAATCTAGTGATTTCAAATGTTAAAGTCATTTCAAAAGTCATTTCAGCATTTTTTAATTTGCAGCTGCCATTCAAATAATACCTGATGATCCTGCCATGAAGATCCCTGTTCAAGCTCTTTCTGTTAGGGCAATATTGCTCTGTCCTGTCTCAGAATAGGGTCCTGCACTATCTCCCTGTTACATTTGCTCATACGGAGGAGATTACAAGCAGCCATGTTGACGTACATTGTACAGGCATGTTGTATTGATGTCATCATCAGGAAACCAATCCTGAGAAATGATGTGCAGCAGTTGATAGAGTGCATGCAAAGAGGCTGCGAAAGACCAGCATTGCTGATATATAACACGTGATTTAAAATGATGAAAACACATATTTTATAATAAAAAATATTTTTAATGGCATGATATTCCCTTATTTAATATTATTTCCCAACTTACAGTATAACAAAGATTCACATATCTTTCCATTTGGATTTGGAATCCATTGAAAAATGTGTGAATTTTGGATGAATGTTGTGTGAATCTTGTGTAATTTTTTTATAACAGTTAGACCGTGCAGTTTATACTGCAGCATATCTAGCTGACGTCTTTGACTTCTCTGTCTCCCAGTTTGAGCTCTGCAGTGCAGGCAATACAAGAGACAGATACTGGGTGACATTCAGGTATTTACATTAATTGCATAAAAAAAAAAGAAATTTAAAGATGTGTCAGTGAATTCAGAGCTGCATTAATTTGTATCTTTTAAATCTGCCTGGAGTAGGAAATAGGAGGACACACCCCGTATTTGCTGCCATCTTCATTATTCCAGCATAGAGTATAGACATTCCCACTGTGGCC